CATGTCTCACATCTAGTTTGCTATGGAATTTTGGTTTAACTGTATTTCATCCATACGGCATCCATTCATGTATGGATGAGTATCTAAATCGACGAAAAGAAAGCGGAAATATTTACTGAAATCGTGACTTTTTTTTGGTCCGCAAATGGTTCTCTCTTTCTCTCAGTTTCGGTCACTCAAATTCTCTCTGTTACTCTTTCTCTCTTTTGGCATAACTTTAGGCGATTTTTGTTTGAAGAGGAAGAAGGAATTCAAAACTAAACTAAAAAAAAATATCTCAAAATTCAGGCAAAAGGATGAGAAAGCGAGAGAGCCGTTTACAAATCAAGTAGAGTGGAGTAGATGAAGTCTGAACAGGGACGAACGAACGAACGAACGAACGAAAAAAATCCTGTACATTTTTTGATTTACTTTGCTTTTTTGCGATGTTTTTTTTTCAATTGCCATCTGGAGGTGTGGGGGTTAGTCGTAGTTGTAGGTGGGTTTGGTTGTTTTGGTGATGAGGTTGACGATAATGACGTTGCTAGAGTTGTGTGTGTGGTTGACTGCCTGTTTCATTGTCTGCTGTTGATGTTAGTGTTGGCGACAGCGGCGGCAGTGTTGTTGGTGGTGATTCTGTCTGTTGTTTTGTCTAAAACATGCTTTTTTAGTTATTTTTTACCCCAAAATCGTACGTATTTTTCGATGATGACGCGGAATTTATATCAAAAACAGACTAAAAAATACCAAATACATTTGCAAAGTATTTTTTTTTTTTTGTTCGTTACGTTTTGTTTCCTTTGTTGTTGCGTCTGTTGCCAGCGATAGATGAAATGTCAGAATAACGTAAAATTTCCGAGAGGGTTGAATTTTTTTCGCGAAATTTTGTCCATTCGTTGTGAATTTTCAATAAAAGAAAATTTGTCCAACCCTTGCCGTACATTTGCATAACAACAGTCGTTGTGTGTGTGTGTGTGCGTGTCTGCTCATCTGTCTAAGCGTTTTTGGCGTTTTGGCCTTTAAGGTTAGGGCTATTTATTTATTTCGGTTTCCGCCTTTGTAATTACATACACACACACACACTTAGCCAAAAGTAATTAAACATAAATTCAATGATTTTTGAGGCAATTTCTAAGGATATTTTTACATGAGCCAGAGCTGATTTAAGCATTTGGAGAAAGAATATTTATTTGATAAATCGAAAATTTTGATTTTTTAGATTGCCAAATTACATTTTGGATTCAGAGTCATCGTTTTTAACTTCTTTCATATTTTCAAAATCTTGGGTTTTTGGCATAAATTTTTATATTTTTTTATAAAAACTTTGCCAAGATCAGAGGTGCTTGTAATGTTTGATAGAGAATTTTGATATTTTGCAGAGGCATTAAAATAGCCTTTTGAAATTTTGGTATAGGTTAAAGGCACCAGGCATATGGACTAAACTGAGCAACAATCAGGAATAATTTTAAAAATATTAGAAACAGGCTTTTTGACCGACCATCTGCTAATTGTTTCGGAACTCACTGCACACAAATTCTGAGATTTTTTCATAGGTTTTTTAGAAATTATTTTCGATGACCCGCTGAACAGAAATTTTAAGATATATTTTAGAACATTTCCTGACCACTTGTCATGAATCGTTTGTAGAAAACTTTTTTCAATTACTCCCTAACGAAAAATCCTAGAAATTTTCAATAATTTTTTCTGAATATTATAGATTGTTTTTAAGAGCTTTCTTCTTAAAAAATATTTAATATAAAGAATAACTTTCCGCAAAGAAAATCGCGAATATCTTAAAAAATATCAAGGATGTCCTTATAATAGCAGATATTTAAAAAAATAAAAATATATTTTATCCTGACAAAACTTATTGAAAATCAATTTTATCAAGGACTTCTTGACGAGAATTATGGATTCATAATGAATTTTTTAGTGTTCTTCTGACCAAAAAATCTATAAAAATTTAAGAAAAACTTTCAAATATGCAAATCTAGTATATGTTTAAAGTAATTCTTTCTATGGCCTTCTGATTTCAATGATTTCCTGACTAGAGATCTTAGATTTTTAAAGAACACTTGTAAGGACCTCTGACCAAAAATCCTGTATTTTTAAAGGTTTTAAAGGATTTTTCACGAAACTATTTTCAAGGACAACCTGGACCAATTTAAAAAACATCTTAAAATCCTTGCTAATTCCTGTATTTTTAGGAAAACTTTTCTACAATTTTTTTGATCAAAAATTTTGGACTTCTTAAAAAAAAGAACCGCTTGGACTTTTCAAAAAAAAAAAAAAAAAAAAAATCAAGTAAAAAAGCGGCTGAGTACGGCCGGGCCTAACATTTAATACCCTCCACCATTTGGAAGGAACTTGAAATTTTTCAAAAAAAAAAATCCGGGGTCAATACAAAGACCTGCATATGATTTTTTTGTAATAGGCTGTAGTACCCATTACGAACTTCAAATATGAAATTTGTTAGAATTATGGCGAATAATGTCGCAAAAATCATGAAAATACTGAGTATAGGGTGGTATCGTCATATGGGGGCTATACGAACACGTGGACCTGCATACGAATTTTTTCTCCATAGGCTGTAGTAACCATTAAGATCTCCCAATACAAAATATAAAATAGTTCCGGTAAATAATGTCGTTGAAATCATGAAAATACCGAATATCGGGAGGTTCCGTTATAGTAGTACCCATTATGAACTTAGATATGAAATTTTGAAATTATTCCGGTAAATAATGTCGCTAAAATCATCAAAATGCCGAATATAGGGAGGTACCGTTGTATGGTGGCTATACGAAAACGTGGACCGACATGGTCCACAGGGGCAACCCTGTATATATATATATATATATATATATATATATATATATATATATACAGGGTTGCCCATATTCGACGGACCCATCTAGCAACGCCATAACTTTTGACAGAGATGACACATCGCTTAATGACATACAGCGTTTGAAGCGTCAGTCCAAGCTGATTTTTTTTGAAATAGTTGAAATTTACATTCAACAGAAGAAGTAAATTGTGAAAACTCAACGTGCTTTTAAAACATTAAAAAGTGTGAGAAGTGCGCCTTCTAAGAACACCACTAAGCTCTTTCTAATCCGAAGAGGCCATATAAAAGTCGACCAAGGCGATCGGCCGAGAATATCGCTGCGGTACGAGCCAGTCTTGAATATGTCCGTCCGTCGAATATGAGCAACCCTGTAGGATCTATTATGAATATTTCGAGAAGTAACAAACAACATTTTCAAAGCTAATATACCCTTCATAGAATGTTGGAGGGTATAATTAAAGAAGCACCTGGTAATTTTTTATCATGGGCGTCGAAAAAAGGATCTTAATTTTTTTTTTAATTTTTATGGATTGTTTTCAATTATCTATAATCCAAAATCGTGAGATTTTTATAGAAAAATTTCAAGGACATTCTCATCTAAACTCGTAGTTCTTTAAGGAAATGCATTCGACGTCTTTTTAGTAAAACTAAATAAATTAAAACTAACTAATTTTTAATAAAAAAAAAATAAAGCGCATATCTCGTTCAATTTTATTAATTTTTTTACAAATCCTTCTGGATTTTTAGGAAAACCTTTTATAGGATATTCTAACAAAAAGTCGTGGGTTTTGAACAAACTCGTTACAAGGATCCCTGACCACTACTAGTGAATATATTTAAGATTTTTCATGAATATGCATACCACAAACCATGTTTTTTAGAGAAATATTTTCAAGGACCTCTTGACCAAAAGTTTTGAGAAAATCTCCACCAAAACTGGTTGACTTAAAAAATTACAGAAAACGTGTTAAAGGACCTTCGGACAAAAAATCCAGGTGTTTACAAGAAAAAAAATTTGGAGGGCCTCATCTGAAACTCCTTAAAAAACAAGAACTTTCCGACTAATATTTATTGATTTTTTAAAGGATTTTTCCAAGGACCACAGATATTGGGTGAAAATTGCCAGATGCGTTCGTTCTAGGGTCAAACAAATGATCCAAGCTAAATTTAATCTTAATCGAACAAATAATGCAATCTGTATTTTACCAACAAAAATACATGAAGAGAAGGATGGACGAACATGTATACATTAACTTAGAATGTGATCCTATAGGGATCGTCAAGAGAAACTATGGTTCTATAACATTTCTTTTTGTCTGTTACAAAAAATATACACAAAGACACAAGTATGATGTCGGATTTAATTACTAATATTTTTAAGTAGATTTTAAAGGGCTTTTGTTCAACGCAGTTTTAACCGAAACTAGTCACTTAACAAAATATGGTGAATTTTTTACGAATTTTTATCGAGGACCTCCAGATCAAGAACCGTGGAGTTTTCTCAAGGATTCTCATACAAAAATCGTGTATTTCTTTAAAAAATATATTTGGAAAATGTTGGATTTTTTAGAGACCTCCTCAAAAAAAAAAAATGTGGAACTCTTAACTTTTTTTTTCGACTTCATACCCTAAAAATGGCCCAGATAGGACTTCCTGGGAAGAAAACATCCACCCTCTGGATTTCGATAAATAACGTTTCTCGTCTAGATACAATAACTTATTGTAGCTTACATGACTTAGTTCTCGTAATTTATACCGTAAAAATTTGTACGCCGCATGATACCATGGCGGATGATTGACGGCAGCAGTTATACGCTCTGTAAAACGGATGTTGAATATATGACTGCCGCAATTATAACTGTCTATTCTACATTTTCACTAAACAAAATATTAATTAATTTAAATTTCTTGTGATAAAACTATTATTTTCCAACTTCCACCTAGTGTTCCTTAAGCAAAAAAAATGAAAACTTAAAAACCGAAATCAAAACTATATAAGACTTTTAAATTTAAATAAAACTACAACAACAACAAAAAAATAAAAAAAGCAAAAATGAATGGCAACAACTTTGTGTCAAATCAAAATAAATAACAACAACAATAAATTTCCCACTGAAAATTACGAATTTAAAACAAAAGAAAATAAACAACAATAAATCCAACTAAAACCATGGAAGGACGTCTCATCGAATACCGTCCAATTGGCGGTGGTCTTGACTATCATCACAATTCACCATTGATTGGTGAAATACCACCGGGTGGTGAGTACTCACAGGCCGTGCACCGATCCATAGATCAGCTAAGAAATACCCTAAACGAACGTGTTACCTTAGGACCATTGAGCGTGTTTTCGAATACCGCCGATTTGAGAACCTCTGTTCTCAACTACACTCAACAGCCGGCACATCAGCAGCAGCAACAACAACAGCAGCAGCATCAACAGCAACAACATCAGCAGCAGCAACAACATCAGGCGCATTATCAAATCCAGGGGGCAGTATCGACCACCACCACACCGAATGGTTCAGTGGCCGAGGCGGTGTTGTTGCATCAAAAGTCCTTGTGTTTGGACACCAAATTGGCCGACTCGACTACTGGAGTGGTCAGTTCGACGGTCAGTTCTGGCGGTGGTGGTCGTGGTCGTAAATCGCGTATCTATCCGCCGAATCCTAATCAGCACATTGTTGTTACCAGCAATAGTGTGGACAATGGTGGAACACGCCACCACAATCGCCAGCAACAACAACAGCAGCAACAGACGAATGACAGCAACAATGGTATTTCCTCGTCCACATCGTCGCCGCATCATCCGATGCAATTGCAGGATATTAAGGATACCAAGGTATTGAGAAAAGAACTTTCAGTGTAGAAAGAGAGACAGAGAGAAGGGAGAGTAAGAATTTTCTCTCTCCCAAACATGTTACCAAAAGTTTTCATTTTCTTTTGAAGCTTAAATTAATTTTTTGATTAATTCCCAAATTTCTTCTCCCCCTCTTCTCATCCTTCCAGATCTTCACATCCAAAGCCGACCTGCAGCTGCACACCCAGATGCACATGCGCGAATCGAAACCCTACAAATGCACCCAATGCTCCAAGGCATTCGCCAATTCGTCATATCTGTCGCAGCACACGCGAATACATTTGGGCATCAAGCCGTATCGCTGTGAGATCTGCCAGCGCAAGTTCACCCAGCTGTCGCATCTGCAGCAGCACATTCGGACGCACACGGGTGACAAACCCTACAAGTGTCGACATCCCGGCTGTCAGAAGGCATTCTCCCAGCTCTCCAATCTTCAATCACACTCACGTTGCCACCAAACTGACAAACCATTCAAATGTAATTCGTGCTACAAATGCTTCTCCGACGAACCCTCACTCCTCGACCATATACCCAAGCACAAGGAGTCCAAGCATCTGAAGACGCACATCTGTCAGTACTGCGGGAAGTCGTACACCCAGGAGACATATCTGAATAAACATATGCAAAAGCATGCGGAGAGGACCGACAAGCGACCGCCCATTGTGGTCACAAATGCTGGCAACAATCCGGCTGGGGGAACCACACCGGCTGCCGGTGCTGCGGCAGGTGGAGCAGCTTCAACAACAACCAACAGCACCACCACCAACAACAACACAGGTAATAGTAATCCTGCAGTAGGTTCCAATCTCTCGTCTACTAATACTGGTTCGGTTACAACAGGTGTAGGCTCGGGCGGAGCGGCCAGCACAACCGCAGCAGCAGCAGGCATTGTTGCCGGGGTCCACAATCAACATAATCGCAACAACTTGACCTTACCTCCGGTAACAATAGCACCCACCGACAATTCGTATTGGCCCAAAGTTAGCCCTGACTCGGCAGCCAACTTGAATGATGTTATGCATCAACAGCAACAGCAGCAACAACAATCGCAGCAACATCACAACCAACATCCCCATCAGCAGCAGCAACAACAGCATCACAGCGGCCAACAGGGCGGTTCGTCACAACATCATCCGCAACAGCAAACAAATCCCCAACAACAGCAACCCTCCTCTCAGCAACAAGGTCACATGGACTATGGCAATCACCAGCAGCAGCAACAACAACAGCAGGCCGGCAATGCGGGACAATCGAATAATCCTCACAACGATCTGCAGGCTCATCATCGCATGAATGATAATGGTCGGGAGGACATTGGTAAGTATAGAGGTTTGATTCTTAAGCTATACGGTCGTACATAGTAAGGGGGTTTGAAAGATAAGTGTTACGGGCAAGTATAAGGCTGAGGTTGATTTTGATTTTTTTCGTGGTTCGATGAGAACTCCATTTTTCCAGCCAGGACTGCGGAGGCCATCCGTTTTTGACTCACATCGAATTATTATCTTTCTGAACGGTTCCGACTCCGGCTCATCTTCTCAAACAGAATCCTATTTATTATACAATTTGAAATATACATTAAAATGGTTATTCCGACTGAACTCTTTGGTCCGGCAGGTCTACGAATATATCGAATATGTGTCTTTCAATGCACCAACAGTTGGAGGCTAGCGTTTTAGTTTCACATCCTTCAACTACAGCCAAAGTACTTTGTGAGGATGTGATTAAATTATAAAGAATTGCATATTGCAAGAATCCGTCTAAGATATTGAAAGGTTTGGCAGGACGAATTTAATTTAACGAATATCAATTCAGTCGATAACTGGTGTCAAAATCTATATATTTTTAAAACCCCGAAATGTTTACAGCTTTCTGAAACAGTCAGAACACCGAAAATCAGGAGGCATTGATACTTAAAGTAAAACCTTAACATCGACCGATGTAGCCAATTTTCAACAACAATCATCCCAGACAGTACAAAGAAGGCCTTGTAGATTTTAATTGACAATTGGTTTTATCGACTCAGTGATTGGCATGATTTTCTGAATCATCAATGCGCATTTCGAGATGACAATTTATATTTTTCCTACAAATCTTGTCTTATTTTTCTATCTAATTTTTATGCCTAGGTCTGTAGAACTCAAGGAGTTACAGCTGTTTATACCCTCAGCCATATGGCTACAGATTTGATACGGCCAAAACGTGCCTCATCGAAATAACGGTTTTATACCCTAAGTCTCGTTGGACCAAATCCGTTTCAGGACAATTGGAGTCGATCTAGGAACCTATCTGGCTGGCTTGTCTGTCTGCCTAACTTGGTACATCGTAATGTTATTGTTAACCTTAGATCGAGTTCGGAGACTGCACATATCGGTCTACCTCTTCTGGTACAAATATTTTGTGCAAACTTTTCATATCCCAATATTTTTGTCAGTTCTAGGAAATTCTGATTGTATTTAAATTTCACACATCCCATTACATAGTACGAAGAGTATATACACAGGGTGAGATAAAAAAATGCAAAAAGTCAAACGCCACATTTTTTCATTTTTTTAATGTTATTGAATGAGAGCAAAAAATGTCGGAAATAGCATCAAATTTTAGAATAAGTTTAGATTTGATCGAATTGATCATGTTTGGCACGAATTATGGCCTTCAATGGCCAATGAAACCGTCACTCGCTACCAGAATATTGTTCTGGGATATTTTGATCCATTCCCGGCGAAGCGCTGCTTGAGATGATCGACACTTAGGTATTTTTAGTGAAAACCTTGTTTTCCAAAATACTCCAGACACAATGGTCCAAGGATTGGTATCCGGAGATTTTAGTGTGGTCATTTTGCGCTGGAAATGAACCGAGGAACCTCATTTTGTAACCATTCTTGGGTAACGCGTGCAGAGTGCGATAGTGCTGAGTCCTGTTGGAATATCAGAGGTGTGCGGACAAAATTTTTGCGTACCCAAGGCTTTCTTACACCTTCAGAATATTGTCGCGAAAATATTCGGCATTTATTCTCTTGCCACGGTTGATTAATACGAGCGGAGAGCGACCATCGGCTATTAGGGCGGCCCATACCATCACCATGACCGGCGCTTGAGTTCTGGTGGCCAATCGAAGGTGCATACTTTCAGCTGATCTCTTTGGCAATTAAACAAGATCACTTGTTTGTGTACAAACTGCTGGACAACGAAAGTTTTCTCGTCAAATTCTCATCGGAGAAAACCACTTTCGGCCAAGCGAATCAACTCATTAGCTCTTTTGAGTCTAATTTATTTCTGTTCTGTAACGGTGTCAGTTCTTGCACTTTTTGGAAACCCAATGGCTTTACCCCGAGCTCATTTTTTCAATATTAGCCGAATGAAATATTGCGATATTTTCAGCTCACGAGCCATTTTTCGGCCACTGCGACGTGGGTTTCGATCAAGTCGCTTCTTTACTTTTCAAACCATTGCTGCTGATGTTGCTGTTTTCTTCCGTCCACTTCCTTAACGTCGGGCGACGCTACCAGCATCACGGTAACGAGCGATGGCACGGGACACAATAGATTTATTCACATTTAAGTGCTCACTACCCACATTGGAGTGCTCTAACGATAGTCACTTGTGGTTTTCCAGCCAAATATAAAGAAATCACACTATCACGCTTGAATTACATCACGAATAACTTTGTTCTGAAAAATTCTCACCAAAATGCTTTTATGCGCTTGTAAACAATATAATGAGCTGTCAGTGGAATAATTTGAGCAGCTGCTGCGGCCTTAGAAATGACAGCAGTCTGAAGTTGGTTGCAGTTATTCATCTCACCCTGTACGTCTAAGTTCTAAGTTCGGAATTGTTTCGTATTATATGCTCGCAACAGGTATTACCGTCTGTTACAGAAATTTATTTATGCTGGTTCACGTCGGAAACGGTATCTCAGTGCAATCGGTATTTTGATGATTTTAGCGACATTATTCACCCGAATTGTCTCAAATTTCGTATTTTGAATATCGTAATAGATTATGACAAAAACTCCCAATATAATAACGGCAACTTCCTATATTCGGTTATGTATGATTATAGCAATGTTTTTCCTGCCAAATTATTGCTTTTCCACTTTTTATGTATCACTTAATATGCCTATCTGAACACATGATAACTCTCGAATGGAGTATTCCACTTATATTATTTTGCAGATCTAAATATTTGAATCAACCTTAGAGCCCATGAGAAAATGGAACCAATAAGTTCATTATTTCTGGTACCGCAGTTCTTATTGGAATCCCTGGTTAAAAGATTTGATTGACAAAAGGGGGCTTCGAAGTTTATGCTGACAATTAATGGACTCCGGATGAATATTTCGAGATTTTGCAAACGAAAGAACAAAATTAATACTCCCGAGTTTATGGTCAAGAGTTGTTGTTGACCGGGTCAATATTAACCTCCCCTGAGTTTTTTTTAAGTCTCAACTTCAATGTATTTACTGTAGGCTGTGTTCTTATAGAATTACCATTGACTGTTGTTTATGATCGTTTGACGCCGCCTATCATTGAAACCATCCTTATCGCCACATTCTACTCCATTATATCACATTTTTAAGGGTCAATACCATATCTGATATAAATCGGCATTAGGAAAACAACTGACTTTAACCTAAATTGTTAATGACTTGTTAGACATTTATTTAATACGTATAACTAGCGATGTATATTTCTCATATTTTCAAATTCTTATTGCTCTTCTCTTACAGTCTCCACACCTTCCACCGTTGGACCCTACGATGCGTCGAGCATTACCAAAACCACCACCAACTCAGCATTTACACCGATCAACTCTATGCCTCCGCACTTGAATACCCTCTCGCATCATGCCATGGCTCAGCGTCCGTATCTCTACGATGCGATCAGTTTTCAGAATAAAAACGTCAACCAAAACAATGCCTCGAATGCATTTCCAAATCAGCTGATTTCGCTGCATCAGATACGCAACTATGCCCATCAGCCGGCTGGTCTGACAATGGCCGGTGAACATTTGTTGGGTGTTAGTGTGGGTCCCGGCAAGGATAAGGGATAGCTATATTTTTAAGGCGAGTAAGTTAATATAATTAAAAAATAAATGAAAGAAAACAAAAAGAAAAATATTATAAATTATAATATAATTAAAGAAGAAAAAAGAAGTGTAGAATGATGTATGATTTATTTGTTTAAATTTTTCTTTATGCTTTATTTTTTTGTATTCTTTTTAAGTTTTTAGTTCATAAATATTATTTAGTTTTGTTTTTTTAGGTTAGTATAAGTTGAGTTCTAAAAGACACCAAAAATGTTCGTTTAATGAGCTTGATTGTGAAATGTAGTTAAGAGTTTATAACAGCAATGCTGTCAGTAATTTTTTCCAGGAAACAACATTCAATATTTTTTTATATCTAATCAATGCATATCCTACATGGGAAAACCTTAAAACTAATTCTCGCGAGTTCTTTTCCCGACGCCATTTTTGGCAAGAAATCGCTTACTTCAGAATGGATTAGTAATTAAAAAATTGATTTTCATTTATTTCCTTTGTGTATTTGAGATTTTCATTTTTTCCTGTCCATATTTTAATACTGTTTGTATAGGGTTTTCAATAGGTACTAAACCAATTTTCCGAAAATCATAAACATAACGTCCAATATATTGTATGTTTTGTCGAATTCCGTAAATATTTCATAAATCATGTTTTTGGTTAGCAAGCGGCATCTTCCCCTTCACTAATTCGGTCAATACGTCTTTTAAAACGTTTGCTGGCAACCTTTTTACGTCACGTCAACATAGATCTACACATTTCCATAGCTGACAGACGAACATCATCGGTCTTTATTAGCGACGTCTACAATCGATACTGAGAGGCAAAATCCCTGGTAAATACATTCCGTTTAACACAACTTCGAACAATTGCAAGACCCCCGAAACACTATGAATGCGCTCTCAGCAAAAACTTCAGAGCTGTATGGGCCGAATAACCCATCAATCTATCTTCGACTTTAACTACAACCTCAGCCATATGCCTACAGAAGGTATACATCATTTTATACGGCCACAATGTGCTTCATCGAAATAACGGTTTTAGACCCTAGGTCCCTTTAGACCAAGTCTGTTTCAGGACATTTGGAGTCGATCTAAAGCTCTCCGGCCGTCGGTCTGTCTGGCTGGTTGATGAGCACGATAACTATCGAAGGGAGTACCCCATTTGGTCTAAACTTGGTAATATTATTGTTAAACTTTGATCGAGTTCGGAGATGGGCAATATCGATCCACTCTTTCTGGTACCTCCCCCACAAAAGGGTAAAAAATTTTTAATAATTATAACTCTTGTAAAATGTAATTCAAGAGTCCGAGCATCTTAAAAATACACTCATCGCAATAATTTTATTAACCCATGGTCTGATGTGAAGATGGAATATATAGGTCTACTCCTCCTGGTACCTCCCCCACAAAGGGTCAAAATGTTGAATATTCACGAAGAAACACGAAATTAACATCCGATTCCATTAAAACTTGGTACATCTCAATATTTCTGTCAACACAAAATCTGTCATAATGAAGGTAGAGATTGGACCATTCCTTCTGGTACCTCCCCCATAAAATACATCGGCCCATTCCTTCTCATACCTCCCACACAACGGGCCAGAGTTTTGAATAACCACGACGCTCTTAAAAGACGAAATAAGCATCCCATTTTTTCAAACGTTGCACATCCTAATATTTCCATCAACACAAGATCTAGTACGAAAATGGGATACATCCGCCTACTCCTTCTGGTAGCTCCCCCACAAAGGGTCAACATTTCGAATAATTATAACTCTCGGAAAATGTGAAGTAAGAGCCCGATTATCTTCAAGTTTTGCACATCTCAAAGATGGGATATATCGGTCCACTCCTTTTGGTACCTCCCTTACAATGAGTCAAAATTTTGAATCATTATATCTCTCATAAACTAAACATGTGGTACCTCCCCACAAAGAGTCACAATTGCCAGTATTTATACATTCCACAACTTGCGAAACAAATCAGCGATTCTTTTCAAACTTGATATATTTAAATATCTCTCTCTCTCTCTCTCTCTCTCTCTCTCTCTCTCTCTCTCTCTCTCTGATGTGAATAAGGGATCTGTGGGCCCACGCTTTATAGTACTTTCCCCACAAAAGTTTAACATTTTGATTATCATTTATTGCCATAAAATTGGAAATAAAATTTCATTCTTCTTTAAAATTTTCACATACCAATATTTTTATCAGTATTAGATGAAGTGGAATACTTCGGTCCGATATATATGATACCTCACACATATCTCAACATTTTCTAAAAATTATCACATATTTCATATTAAGTCTAAATCTGGCACGTTGTAATATTTATATCTGACTTAGGTCAGATACGAAATGGAAAATATTGACACGCTCTGCATACAGCACCATCCCATGAAGGGTCAATATGTTAAGAATCATAACGTAAGTTAAAATTTATTTTCATAAACGGACATTGGCGGAGGTTATACTTCTTTCGACAAAACCGACTGATACTTCTCAACTAGCTTTTTTTCTGTCTACTTACTGGTAGTGCAGTGAGTGTATAGTTTACATTATTTTTGGCTTACTGGCAATACGGAGGATATGTGGCAAGTTGTGCTCCCAGTATGTAAGAAAGACTTTGCAGAGAATCAAATTTCAATTTTGAGTTCGCAATAGGAACTACATCTTATGAGTAAAATTAGATTATAGATTATAGCCCCAATATACTGGTACATTCTTATTTTCTGTATTTGCACGATTTTTGTCACTTGTTAGAGGAATTGTTTCAAATTTGATACTTAGAAATCGCAATAGGTATTACCGAAAATTACCTGTAAATATCGACATATTCGTATAGCCCCCATATAAAGTTATCACCCCAGTATTCGGAATTTTGATGATTTTAGAAACGGAATTATTTTAAAGTTGGGATCTGGTGTTGACCATTGTTTATATATTTCTGATCGAAAGTTGTCTATATAGGCCAATATTTTCCTATCGGTCGAATGTGCCAAAATTTAGGTCATTTGGACTGATATTGGCCATTTGGTGCACAACTAACCCAAAATGGGTTGAAGATATATCTAAATTTGAACCGATTCTCACCAATTTCAATAGGGTTCGTCATTAGGCCAAACAAATATTGTTTGGAATTTCATCTCAATCGAATAATAAAAACGACCTGCATTTTGTTCACAAAAATACCTGCACAGACAGACGGACGGACGACTAGGCGGACTGATTTGCATAAATCGACGCAGAAATTGATTCTATAAATATCCTCAAAAGTAACTATGGGTCTATCCGCTTCTTTCTCTATGTTACAAACAAAAACATAATACCATATGTGGTATAGGGTATAAAAATTGTCAAACCACAAGGGCCTTTAATAGGGTGGTACTTTTACACGGGTGTATATTTAATGTTGAAAATTCTGCGGACGTTAAATACATTTAGAGAAAAATTGTATCAACATATCTTATTCTGTTCGTATGCTATAGTAATTTACACAAACGGAGTTGCATAAATTGACACTGAACTTTTCGATCAATAATTGGGGGTAAAATTATTATTATTTCTATGACAAAATTAATGCACACCCCCTACGACCTGATAATGGTGTTTTTATTATTTTTTGTAACACCTAAAATCCAATAAAATAGGACCTATACAAGAGTTTCTACTTCAAGTTCTAAAACCTCCATCCAAACTTTTATTGTAGGATCTTTGCCTTAAACTTCATATATAAAACTAAAAAATATTTAAATCTCAACTTCGGCTTGGCTTGAAGCTCAATTTAATATACATTATACCAAAACCCCTCTCTAAGAATTGTTGTATTGTCCAATTTACTAATGAATCTACCAAAAACTTAATCTATCTTGCTCCGCCTCCATAAATATTGCATGTGATTCGTTCAACTATTCCCATAAGAGAAAAGAATAATAAAATGTTTTTAATTGCACACGCAATATATTTTACCCGGCACAGCCTAAAAAGCCTAACCCTCTCCAAAACTTAAATGTTCTGCCACAACTAAAACAAAGAGAATTACAAATGACTGGTGGACGACTACTAATTAAACTCATGGTACTCAAAAGCGCACTGCTTTCACTCTAAAAGCTCCACACATTTTGTTTCAAAAGTACTAAAACATTTAGGGTCCAACGCAATGAAAGCTCAACATTTAACTCTTTCGCCAAAGTTTTGTTTGTTTAATTAACTTAGCTTAACCCTTTGCTATGTGGCTAGTAATTAACACAAAGCTCATAAAAGCTCATTCCACGAACATAGCACTTGTGTGTACAGTTCAACTTGACAGCAACAAGATTTTAAGTTCAAACTACATATATTTTTACATTCGTTCTGTACAGTATTAACAATTCGCGATAAGAATTGTTAACAAATTTAAATTAAATATTTTTTTTAATAAATTAATTTGTAAAATAATACCGTCCATTATGTTTAAACTATAAAATGATTATTTTTAGATTTTGTAAGTTTTCAGTTTATTAATTTCTTTACTACAACACAAAAAGAATATTGGGTGGAAATTAGGCAAGTGTATATCTTTCGGGATGGAAACTTAGATATCGTCTTAGTTTTCGTTTTTTTTATCCTCCACCATATGAAGGGTTTATTAAGTTCGTCATGCCGTTTGTAAATCATTTGGTATTTTGATCATTTTAGCCAAGTTTTTCAATGGAATTGTCTGAAAATTGACATAAGGAGTTCCCTTTGAGTACTTTACCCCCTGGAAGAGAATTGTCTATATAGGTCCACGTTTTTGTGTATCATTCATATAACTGTACTCCCAGATATGCAGTAATTACATGATTTTAGCTACATCATATATCGGAATTTTTTCAAATGCGTATTTGAAGCTCGTAATGGGTACTACAACCTATTTCTATACAGGTCCACCTTTTCGTATAGCCCCATATAAAGGTTTTCATTTGAGCGGTATTTTTAGACAGATTTTTATTTTTTGAAAAATTTTAAATTTCTTCCGAATGGTAGAGTGAATATTAGATTCTTT